AATATATATATATATATATATATATATATATATATATATATATGGAAGGGGATAACGTTTCATGTGGCATATATTTTGAGAAAATAACGGTCCATAAACGTAGCTCTTGCTATCACAAATTATGACATAGGCTCGGCCACTTGGTTCAAACTTAGAGTTGCATCTCTCCTAAGTGCAATAGAAGCTTAAGGAATAACCTTTCTTGGTCATCCATGGATCCCTTGGACGTACAGGAAATTACGCCCAATGACCTTGAAAATGGATAGTTTCGAATTTTTGACTCCCGCTTGTCCCATGGGCAAACCTTTAAATTCAAATGTCAAAAGTGTTACCCATGAAGCAAGTGGGAGGCAACAATTGTTAAACTTGAAGTTCTGCCCAGGAACAAGCGGGGTCGAAAATCAAAAGTGGCGCCCGACGTGTCCTATTTGTGCAACTCACCCTTCCAGGTAAGTCTCGAGCGGTATATTTAAGTTGAGTTTCTTTTTCTCCTAATCACATTATTTTCCATATAACCAAGTTATGTAAGAGATAAAGACTGAACTGGCCCATAGCAGATGTTTGGGCTTACTCATTTAGGCCCTTCTAATTTTTAGGGCAAAATTCATTTATAGCCCATTAGTCCAAACATATATCGCCCGGTAGCCTAAAATTGCAATATACATTTTATAATCCAAAAGTAATTCTAGTGGCTAACCACAACATCAAGCTGAGAAGAAAGAGAGTTGAGTTCATCGGTAGATTTGGATTTGAGGAAAACGAGCAACTGGTCACGGGTCGAACCATTTGAACCCACTGCGATTAGACCCAACACTACGTGGATCAACAAAGGGAAAAAGACCATGTTGTTGTCCCCTTTAGTTAACATTGGAATTCTGCTGGAGGTGTACTGTGATTCTTCATTATTAGTCAGAAGATCATTCTCCAATCCCACTTCACCCAAAAGAAAAAAAAAGGATTTATAGTGCATAGTGGAATAGACGACGTGGCTTCTTGTGTTTTGTGTTGAGTTTGATTGCGGCTTCTTCTGGGTTTTTTTTATTGCGTTTAAGGATACGCATGCTTGGTTGCTGATCGATTCTCGAAGGTCTTACCGTTATGGAGATTATTTGGGTATTTCTGTGATTGAGTTAGATTTTTCAAGAGTCAAAAAAGAAAAGACACGTTTAAGTTTAAACAACGTTTAAAGTCAACACTTAGCATACAAGTTAGACGCTTCCTATACAAAAAAAAATATAATAAATAGACTGTCACTATACTATATATATATATATACAAAATAAATCGTAACTATACAAAATAGACTGTCACTATACAAAAAATATACAAAATAGATATTTCGAACTATTAGATGTAATATGTTTGGGCAGAAGGGCCATTTCATTTAAGTGAGAAAAAATATGGTCTATTAAATTTTGAGTGGCTATAGATAGTAGTTCTGCTGCTTCTAGCTTGGAATCATTCACCTTCGGGAACCTCTCAGGAAAAGAAAGGAAAATTTTCACATAAAAATAACGGAAACTTACACAAATGTCCCAAATAAGTCTCAATTTACCAACCTCTAGCCATCAATCATAGACTTACTAAAACTAGCCAACCACATATAAAAATTAAAAATCCAAATAAATAAGGTTTTTTCTCTCAAAGAATCACATGCACAAATCACCTTCCATATTTTTACGCATGATTAGCAACATTAGATGCAAGACGGAAAGAAAATTTCATGGATGAGGTAGCAAATAAGGTGATGAAATACAAAAAATAAAAATATACAATATTCCAAATTAAAGCAAAAAAATAAACTTTTTAATGGGTATAGTTGAAATTCATTGAAAACATATAGATAAGTCAATATACAAAATTTGAGGAAGATTGAAGGTGATTTGGACTGATTTTGTATCAAAATTCGAAGTTAAATCGAGTTAACAAAATTCTTCTGCGACACATGTATCAAACATGTATCACGCATGCATCTCACACACAGATATACATGTGATACACAATTGATATAAATATGATACATATGTGATACACAAATGATACATAGTGTGATACACGTCATTTTTTTTCCATGTTCAGTTTTTACTTCGAATTTTCAATTCAAACCACCTCAAAACTTCACCAAATCATCCAAGAACTGAGATTCAAGCTGCTTAAGATGTACCCAAATTATTCTAATAACTCTCACTCAAAAGAAAGCAAAAAATTAATTTTTTTTTTTGCTACAAGTAACTAATTGGCTAATATTAGTAATATTTTATGAATTGACCAATTTTTGAAATGAGCTACTTATAAATGGACATAGCTGGTAGTTTCCCTAAAAACTAGGCTCCCTGCTTTTTAATTTTATAGCCCATATTTCAATTTAAAACTATTAACCCAAAAATAATAATCTAATATTCAACATCCAACTCCAACAGGTTCTCGAAATTAGTATTCAATTTTTTAAAAATATTGCCCAAGCTTCTAATTATTTTCAAATCAGTAACCGTAAATCTAATATTAGTTCAACAAATCAAATTCGTTTAGGTAGTAAAAATTAAATTTTTAACAAGCTTAAATATGTGGGTTTATATTTTGAATTTAATTTTGTGAAAAATTTGGAGTGAGTATTGTTTAAACTTATTAGAAATAGTATAAGGAGGTTGTATATAAAAATTGAAGCCATTTAATAGAGATTTGGGCTGGTTTTGAACAAGAATTGCAACTGAAAATCGTCGAAGAGATTCATCGACAAACGCTTGTATAAATGTAGATAAAAGTATATAAATGCAGATAAAAGTATATAAGATGTTTTTATACACTCATATACATTATTATGCAAGATTATACATAATTATACAAAAAACTTACTTCATCTTCTTCCTTGCATCTTTGCTGAAATTTAACTCAAATTTTGCTCAAATCTACTCCAAATCACTTCAAATTTAAATTTTGAACTCCTTTTGATATTTTCAATCAATTGGAATTACACACAATCCAAACAACTAATAAACCCAAAAAATCCTATTTTCGATAGCGAAGCTTTGAATGGCCTTCAATGGTGGACTTACTCTTTAATTTTCTTATATTGCAACCAGTTAATACAGGGGGAGAAGCAGTAATGGCGGACGGCCTCTTGAAGCATACGTAGAAGATATGAGAAGAAGAGAGTGAAAGCCCAAAAAAATATTACCCTTACTAATTTACGATGAGCTAATGGGCGCAAAAAAAATTTCAAAATATATACAACCTGGGCCAAACCACGTTAGAGCTTCAAATATGGGTCATTTTCGGATGAGCCGTAAGGCCCAATTAATATCTGATGTAATTTTGCCGAAAACAAAAAAAGAAAAAACTAACAGTATGCTGGATTCCAGTGATGAGTAGAAAACTAACTTATTTACTTCCTTAGATTAAACTAAAGGGTCAAACTTGCTTAATTTGGACCCATCCATAAAGTTACAAAACCGTTATATCATAACACAAACCAAAAAAGCAAAATTGAAGTGTTTCAGGAGGCAACAACATAACCTTTTCCCTTGAGCTGATTATGCATAAGAAAAACTTCATTTTGCTTAACATACCACTAATACAACAACGACCTTACCCCTACTCCGATGGAGTAGAGTAACATACCACTGATAATATGCCCAAAATCACACTTTGTTAACTAACCCATGGCATATGTTCGGGTCCAGGTCCGGGCAGTTGTTTCATACCTGTTTCTATCGGTCTTGTACATATGAGCAATCTCCGGCACCAAAGAATCATCAGGATTAGGGTCTGTTAGCAGAGCACATACAGACATCAACACCTGCAAGGAACAAATACAAAATAAACATGCCAGCCCGCAGTTGATCAGTCGATCATGCTTAAAGAGGTTTAAAACAAAGAACAATTTGAATACATATCAAGTTTAAAAATTAGAAAAAAGAACATCATCATCATCAAAAAAAAAAAAAAAACGGTAAAATCTCACAAGTGGGGTCTAGGGAGGGTAGTATGTAAGTCCTGACTGTTTCCAATAAACTCTCGGCTTAAGAAAGATTAAAATAAACAATAGAAACAAGCAATATCAACAAAGTCAGAAAGATAATAGCAGCAGCCTAAGAGCCAGAAAATTAGTTGGAAGGAAGCAGAAACAATAAGCAGTAACCGTGCTGGTGGGAAGCATATCAACCGCCAGAAACAATAACTAATTTCTTCCCACCTGCCTAAGCCTTGATGGGAAAAGTTACCTCGTACCTGTAGTGGTGCTACTGCAAAGTAGCAGGTATCCGGTGTAATAGTCGAGGTGTGCGCATGTCAACTCGGACACCATTATTACCCCAAAAAAAAAAAGCAACTAATGCAAGAGTTTCATTTGGAAGGAAGATAATAGTCATTAATGTTACACGTTGAAGAAGAGCAAGATTAAAGTTTCTCATGTAAGTTCAATCTGAAAATACAGAAGTTTCATGTATATACTTTAAAAGACTACAAAACAAAAAGCAAGGTACTAAGCGAATGTATTTTAATCTCCTATGTTTGACTCACTTGTGTTAGTATAGAACAAGAACTAAATAATCGACGTAAAAGTCCTCACGATCCACCATTGAAATACATTTGACAATGTTCTCAGCAAAACAGGGATGATATTGGACTTGTGTACTCTTGGGATGTAAATAAGAAGCAAAAACAAAAGATTAAATCAGCATGGGAACAACAGGAAATGAACTTCACCGTGGAGATTGTAAGTGCTGGACTCCACTGTTCCTTCAAAACGTCAAGGCAAATGCTACCATTGCTGTTGATATTTGGGTGGAAAACCTTTGTCCTAAAAGCTATCTGCACATTTATCTCGTATTGTTATATAAATTTGTCCAAGAAGTCAAGAGGTGTCATTATATTATATAGTATATATACATATTTTTCCATCGGTACATTTGTTGAACTTCTTCTATACCAATGTACTTATCCAACTGAATCTAACATATAAACTGGACTTCTTCTAGACCAATGTACTAAGCCAGTCAACTATTCATATCAATTGCAAGCAGTTCTCTCCCTAGCAAAATGAGCTTAAATATCTGTACATGCATTAAAAGATTAATATGAACAAAATACTTATTAACTCAATGATTCTGCAGATTTACAAGCCAAGAAAACGAAAACGATAGCTTCTTTGATTCTGTGAAAAGAATCCTTTGCACAATTTAAACAATTAGGAGCCTATAAGCCTGTGAAGGGGAGCCTTGGCGTAACTAGTAAAGTTGTTGCCATGTGACCAGGATGTCACGAGTTCGAGCTATGAAAACAGCCTCTTGCAAAAATGCAGGGTAGGGCTGTGTACCATAGACCCTTGTGGTCTGGCCCTTCTCGGACGCTGCGCATAGCGGGAGCTTAGTGCATCGGACTGCTCTATCAGGCAAGTCATAAAGAAGTTTGTGTGCACTTCATGTTGTAGGAAGAATACCTTGGGTGGCTTAAATGGATAATCAGGTGGAAAATGAATGGTAACAAGAAACATTCCACCGGCATAGGGACTATCAGGCGGACCAATAATTGTTGCTTCCCAGTGAAACAAATCGTCGGCAGCAACTGGACCTAAATACAAACAACAGGAAGCAAAAGCATAACAATCAGAGAACTCTTCAATGCAACCTTAAGACACATTTTTACTTGTTATTTGGGCATTTAGGCTTAGTGCAAGCATATCTACAGCAGCTTGCCTAAAAAATGTGGAAACACAAAAGCACAGAGAACCAGAGAACCATATTCCAGAACGTAAACAATTTCAAGCATGAGCATGCAGGGGCGGAGCTAGTTTGTATGTTACGGGTTCAAACGAATATAATCCAGTAACTTTTAACCAAATCCTATATTTGTTTAAATAATTCACTAAAAATATGTAGAAATTATTAATTAAGGATCTAGTAACTTAAAAGAACTAGAATCCTAAACTAACAAACTTGAAATCCTGACTCCACCTATGTGAGCATGGACATGGTAAGCTGGGGAAGACAAACGTACTCGTCTACACTATTTACCTCATTTCCAAACATTAGAACCTTGTCCCGTGGAGCCCCCAACCCAAACCGGACTTATATGTTCCTTTCGCCAACCTTCCTAAACAAACAAATATGTTCAAGGTCAAGTTCTTTTTTCTTTTGTTTTGTTTAGGTTGAAAAACTAATAAATACACCAAAAGATCATACATTACCTTCAAATTACATCTCAAATCAATTCGACCCTTCCCCGCCATCAAAAAGCCAAACAAGTTAATTTACTCCACAAGGCACTCATTTTTGGGCCAACCAATATCATACAGAACAAACTTCAGATAATTGACTATTTTTAACAGATTCCTCTAAAGTTCACCCCCCCCCCCCCCCCAAAAAAAACCGTCCCTTGGCAGTTGCAATCATATAGGAGAGCACCTAATGATAAATCTTAGCGCGGTTAACTTGGGGGGGTGGGGGATGAAGAATCACTACTAAACATGCGCATTTGATACACAAATTTATCACTTAATCATTTCCCTTCAATTTTTAACTACCAAAGTTAAATTAATTGGTTTGGTGTAAACAGCGGTTGCAAATAAGCATTTACATGTTGAACCTGTCACATGCATTTAACTCACATTATCACATATTACGCTCTTGCCATTAAACCAAAGCTCTTGGGACAAAGTAAAAGGAAAAGAAGGTTCTAGAAACAAACCAAGAGTGCAAAAGACAGGAGGATCTTTCACAAGATCCTTGAGCTCTTTTAGAATCCTCTTGGATGCCATCCTCGATCAAATCCCTCTACAAAAAATAAGTAAAATAACACATATCAGCTCTATATATAAATAATAAATCAAGTCAAACCTTTTTATAACAACCTCAGTTGTTCTGGACATTTTTCGGTTGTTATAGCGAAGTATTATTATAGAAATATATATACATATTACAACATGAATAATTGGTTCTAAAGAAAATATGACTATTATAGTGAAGTTATATTATAAAGGATGACTGACGATACTAACGATTTCTCTAAGGAAAATGGAACATTCAATGGCGAAATTAGCTCGCGATAACGCTCAACCACCCGCTCATCTCCGATGATGATATTGTCACTGAGGATAGCGTAGCGTGTAAAAGGAGCTCTTGGAAGAAACCTTTTCTTCTTAGCAGATTTTTCAACCTACCCGAGGCAAGGAAGTAAAGCAACCAATAGCCTTTTTACCTACTATGCCTTTCACCGGGTGAGCAAAAAGTAGTTACCTTTAGCCCGGTCTTCCTTATTAATAATTGATAAGGCACAGGGGAACCATTATTATAGAGAGGTCTGACTGTAAATAAAGAAATAGGAATTCTTCAATTGTATTCAAACGGGCAATGAATAATTCGTTCCGCAACAAATACAACTGAGAGTTAAACTCAAGATCTCCAATTACTAAGTGTGTGTTCTAGCCAACTAAGCTACGAGAGCTTGTTGCTTTTTTGTTGCGGTTCAAAATAATTGATTTCTTATTTTAGTACTACAAGTAGATTTGCTATAAAATTCAATATAACTACGAATGGTAATTTTCTAAAAGTATAGCTACAAACGGTAAATGCAATATACTCCCTCAGTTACGTTTCAAGTTATGTGAACCCATATGACTGGGCACACAGAGAAACTTTTGAACTTGTGGTGCAAAATGAGGCACATATATCTTATGCGATTATAAATCATTGTATAAAGGTAAAATTGTTTCCAAATAAAGAAAGGAGTTATTTTTTTTGGCAGAACTAAAAAAGGAAATAGGTTCACGAAAATTAAAATGGAGGGAGTATATATTTGTTGTGCCGCATAATTTTTCCCAAACATACATGCAGAGAAGACATGCATAGTATAAAAAATCACAACTAGAGAAAGAGAAAGAAGAGAAAAGAAAATTTTACCTGAGAGATTAACCTACCAAGATGCAACTTTCAGATTCTGAGAAGCGAACAGTACAATGTTGAACTCAGAACTTTTTTTAATATAAAGGCTTTCGTATCTCTGTTGCCCGACTTACAGCTACGCCCCAAATGGTTTGAAAATTTACACTTAGATCCCTTTATTTCTTCAATAACTGTAGTATACGTCCAATTTATGTTCTTTCTTTTCGCAAATTTTTACTTTTAGAACTTGTTATAATTTAAAGTAAAATGTTTTTTTGGTTTTATATGGAGATGCTAGTTGTAGTATTTAATAGTATCATAGGGTGGAAATTAAGTGACTTAATTAATGTTGTAAATGTGAATATATTCGTCAGTTAAATGACTAAGAAAATTCTCTACCGAAAGGCTTTGGATTGATTATTAGACGGGGAGAAATTAAAAAATAATCAGATTTATAAGTGGTAATTGAAAAATAGCAGCAGTTTCAAAAATAATCGAAATTTTGCCACTTTTTATGTAAAAGATAAATTTGAACAAAAACAATGTTCAAAGCCCAAAAATATTCTAGCATAATATGCTGGAGTTCGAACTTTTTGCATTTGAACTTCCAGCATAACATGCTAGAATTTCATAATGTGTGGGAGTTCCAACATAGTATGCTGGAAATCCATACACAGGTGCTCCAATCTTAGTATATAATGTTGGAACTTTTCGTATGCTGGAATTCCAATATAATATGCCGGAAGTTCATACACAAGTGCACCATTCTCCAGTATATTATGCTGGATATTTCCGTGTTGCAGCAAAATAGTGACTATTTTTTAATGATTTTGCAAACGTTAGCTGTTTTTCAATTACTAGCCCGAAAACTGACTAGCCCGTGCTATTTTGACTATTAGATGGAGTAATATATATTATATCGAAATGAAGGTCCCCTCTCCTATCGTGGACACTAACTTAAAGTAAAAATAGCACGGGCTAGCCAATTTTCGGAATGGTCATTCAAAAATAACCAGCATTTGCAAAGTCATTGAAAAATAACCACTATTTTGCTGCAACACGGAAAGTTCCAACATAATATACAGGAGACCGATGCACCTGTGTATGAACTTCCAGCATATTATGCTGGAACTCCAACATGCTGAAAGTTCCAGTGTAATATACTGGAGATTGGAGCACTGGTGCTCCACTCTATTGGAGTTCCAGTATACTTATCTTTACAGGAAAAGTGGCTAAATTTTGATTACTTTTAAAACTGTGGCTATTTTTGAATGACCACTTGTAAATCTGGCTATTTTTAAATTTCTCCCTAACTTAAAGAGCCTGATATATAAGGCCCAAGGTTCATATAAAAAATTTCTTAGCAAAAAAATATCAAACTACCACTATTTACTCATGCAAAATAACCTTCAGATAATTGTCATAAGTTCATCTATTACGTTAGATCACAACTCTGCATCATCAAAGTGTGTTGGGAAAAAATTGAATTTAAATATTGAAGGTGATGTGTCATGACACGTGGACCGGTCAAATAGTCAAAACGTGGTAATCAGTTAGAAGACACGAGCAACAACAGATGCGGGAGAGAAGATACTTAAAGACACGAACTATTATTCAAATGAAACGAAACTCGTACCTGTTCGAGTCATTTAAAGTTCGAAGAACAGAAGGAATTGAAGACATGAATCTGATAGCGAAAAAGAGTCCAAATTCAGCATTAAATGCCAAATACGTTAGAGAATTTGTATTTAATATGAATGATTGAGTAACGTTTCCTTCAATATCATTTATTGCTCGTAATTGCCTCATTAAAGCAAAGGCATTACACTTTCTCTTAAAAATTAACTATAAAAAGAGGAAGTCACAACATCTGTAGGACACACGAAAAACACTACTGGAATATACTTTGTTTTATTTGCTTTCTGATTATATCATTCAAAATTTCTTTCTTATACACTTTTCCGATTATCAGTAACCCGAGTTCTTCTAAATTCAAACTTTGACCTAAAATCTAATTTTTGGTTAAACATAACGTACAAAGAATATGAAAGAAGAAATACCTTGTAGGTGCTGTTTTATGGAGAAGAAATCTATCTTCTGCCACAGCTTTATGTCTCTTTCTCTGTTGGGCAAGAGAGTTAAATAACAATCACTATCAAATTCAAAAATTAATCTAGGACCATTTTCTTGGCTGAAATTCACATTTATACTTAATA